AAGAGTTTCCAAGACAGGCAAAAACTAAGGGAGTTTATGGACACTGAACCAACTCTGCAAGAAACATTAAAGGGGATCCTTTGAGTGGGAAAGAGAGACCAAAAGCAAGAAAGAAAGGAACAGGGATTATCTACCGGAACAGTGGCTTTACAGGTAATAGAATGTCAGTAAATTCATATTTATCAGTAATTACTCTGAATGTAAATGGACTAAATGTTCCAATCAAAATACAGTATCACAATGGATTAAAAAAATAAGACCCATCATTGTGCTGCTTACAAGAGCAATTTTAGACCCAAAGACATATCCAAATTGAAAGTGAGGGAGTAGAGAACAATTTATCATGCTAATGGACATCAAAAGAAAGTGGAAGTAGCCATACTTAATCAGACAAACTAGATTTTATTTTATTTTTTTTCAAACTAGATTTTAAACCAAAGACTGAAATAAGAAGTGAAGAAGGGCACTATATCATAGTAGAGGGTCTATCCAACAAGATCTAATGATTGTAAATATTTATGCCCCCAACTTGGGAGTAGCCAAATATATAAATCAATTAATAACAAACTTAAGGAAACTCATTGATGATAATGCAATGACAATAGGGGACTTTGACACCCAAATCACAGCAATGGACTGATATTCTAAACAGGAGGTCAACAAGGAATTGATGGCTTTGAATGACACGCTGGATCAGGTGGACTTAACAGATATATTCAGAACATTTCATCTTAAAGCAGCAAAATATATGTTCTTTTTGAGTGCACATGGAACATTCTCCAGAATTGATCATGAACTGGGTCACAAATCAGGTGTCACCTGGTACAAAAATATTGAGATCATACCATTCATATTTTCAGATCACACCACTCTGAAATTTGAAGTCAATCACAGGAAAAAAAAATGGAAAGACCATAAACACATGGGGATTAAAGAATATCCTACTAAAGAATGAATGAGTTAACCAGGAAATTAAAGAAATAAAGCAATTCATGGAAGCAAAAGAAAATGAAAACACAACACCCAAAAACCTTTGGGATGCAGCAAAGACAGTCATAAAAGCAAGTATATAGCAATACAGGCCTTCCTCAAGAAGCAAGAAAAGTTTCGAATATACAACTAAAACGTACACCTAAAGGAGCTGGAAAAAGAACAACAAATTAAGCCCCCAGCCAAAAAAAGAAGGGAAATATTTAAGATTAGAGCAGAAATAAGTGATATAGAAATTTCAAAAACAATAGAAAAGATCAATGAAACTAGGAGCTGATTCTTTGAAAAACTTAACAAAATTGATAAAACCCTAGCCAAAGAGAAAATATCCAAATGAATAAAATTACAAATGAAAGAGGAGAGATCAGAACAAACACTGTAGAAATACAATTATAAGAGAATATTATTATGTGTAAATATATGTGAACAAATTGGACAATCTGGAAGAAATGAATAAATTCCTAGAAACATAAACTACCAAAACTGAAACAGGAAAAAGTAGAAAATTTGAACAGACCCATATCCAGCAAAAAAATTGAATCAGTAATCAAAAATCTCACAATAAACAAGAGTCCAGATGGCTTTCCTGGGGAATTCTACCAAACATTTAAAGAAGAATTGATACCTATTTTTCTGAAATTGTTCCAAAAAAACAGGAATGGAAGGAAAACTTCCAAACTCATTCTAGGTGGCAAACATTACCTTGATCCCAAAATCAGACAAAGACCCCACTGAAAAGGAGAATTACAAACTAATATCCATGATGAACATGGATGCAAAAATTCTTGACAAGATACTAGCCAATATGATCCAACAGTATATTAAAAGGATTATTCACCATGACCAAGTGGGATTTATCGCTGGGCTGCAATGGTGGTTAAACATCCACAAATTGATGTAGTGATGATACACTATATTAATAAAAGAAAGATCATGAACCATATGATCCTCTCAATAGATGCAGAAAAATCATTTAACAATGTACAGCACATTTTCTTGATATAATCCCTCAAGAAAGTAGGTATACAAGGAACATAATAAAATAAAGGCAGTAAATGAAAGACCCAAAGATCACATCATCCTAAATGGTGAAAAACTAAAAGGTTTTCCCCTGAGACCAGGAATACAACAGGGATGTCCACTCTCATCACTGTTGTTCAATATACTACTGTAAGCCCTAGCCTCACCAATCAGACAACAAAAAATAAATAAATAAAAGGCATCCAAATTGGCAAGGAAGAAGCCAAAACTTTCACTCCTTAAAGAAGACATGCTACTCTATGTAGAAAACTCAAAAGACTCCACCAAAAAATTGCTAGAACTGCCTCATGAATTCAGCAAAGTCACAGGATATAAACTTAATGTATTTCTGTACACCAATGATGAAGTTCCAGAAAGAGAAATCAAGGAGTACACCCCATTTACAATTGCACTTAAAACCATAAGTCACCGAGGAATAAATGTAACCAAAGAGGTGAAAGCCCTGGACTCTGAAAACTATAAAATGCTGATGAAAGAAACTGAAGAGGACACAAAGATGTGGAAAAACATTCCATGCTCACAGATTGAAAGAACAAATATTGTTAAATGTCTATACTACCCAAAGCAATCTACAGATTTACTCAATCCCCATCAAAATACCACCAGCATTTTTCACAGAACTAGAGCAAACCATCCTAAAATGCGTATGGAACCACAAAAGTCAATCCCCATCAAAATACCACCAGCATTTTTCACAGAACTAGAGCAAACCATCCTAAAATGCGTATGGAACCACAAAAGATCCCAAATAACCGAAGTAATGTTGAAAAAGAAAAGCAAAGCGGAGGTATCACAACCCCAGGCTTCAAGCTGTATTACAAAGTTGTAATCATCAAGACAGTATGGTTCTGGCACAAAAACAGACACATAGATCAACGGAACAGAATACAGAACCCAGAAATAGACCCACAACTATATGGTCAACTAATCTTCAACAGAGCAGGAAAGAATATCCAATGGGAAAAAAAGACAGTCTCTTCAACAAAGGGTGTTGGGAAAACTGGATAGCAGCAACACACAGAATGAAACTGGACCACTTTCTTATACCATACATAAAAACAAATTCAAAATGGATGAAAGACCTAAATGTAAGACAGGAAACCATTGAAATCCTAGAAAAGAAAACAGGCAGTAACTTCTTTGACCTCAGCTGCCACAAATTCTTTACTAGACACATCTCTGGAGGCAAGAGAAACAAAAGCAAAAAATGAACTACTGGGACCTCATCAAGACAAAAAGCTTCTGCACAGCAAAGGAAACAATAAAACCAAAAGGCAACCAACAGAATGGGAGAAGATATTTGCAAATGACATATTGGATAAAGGGTTAGTATCCAAAATCTATAAAGAACTTATCAAAATCAATGCCCCCAAAATAAAAAAATCCCAGTTAAGAGATGGGCAGAAGATATGAACAGACATTTCTCCAAAGAAGACATCCAGGTGGCTAACAGACACATGAAAAGATGCCCAACATCCCTCATCATCAGGGAAATACAACTCAAAACCGCAATGAGATACCACCCCACACCTGTCAGAATGGCTAAAATTAGCAGCATAGGAAACAACAGATGTTGACAAGGATGCAGAGAAAGGGGAACCCTTTTGCACAGTTCGTGGGAATGCAAACTGGTACAGCCACTCTGGAAAACAGTATGGAGGTTCCTCAAAAAGTTAAAAATAGAACTACCCGGGGATCCCTGGGTGGCTCAGCGGTTTCGCACCTGCGTTTGGCCCAGGGCGCCATCCTGGAGTCCCGGGATCGAGTCCCACGTCGGGCTCCCGGCATGGAGCCTGCTTCTCCCTCCTCCTGTGTCTCTGCCTCTCTCTCTCTCTCTCTCTCTCTCTCTCTCTCTCTCTCTCTCTGTGTGTGTGTGTCTATCATCAATCAATCAATCAATCTTTAAAAAAAAAATAGAACCACCCTACCACTCAGAAATTGTACTACCAGGTATTTATCCAAAGGATACAAAAGTGCCGATTCCAAGGGGCACATGCACCCCAGTGTTTATAGCAGCACTATTAACAGTAGCCAAGTTATGGAAAGAGCCCAGCCCAAATGTTCATTGACTGATGAATGGATAAAGAAGATGTGGTACATATATTCAATGAACCACTACTCAGCAACCAAAAAGAATGAAATCTTCCCATTTGCAACAATGTGGATGGAACTAGACTGTATTATACTAAGTGAAATAAGCCAAAGACTTAATCAATATCATATGATTTCACTTATATGTGGAATTTAAGAATCAAAATGGTCAACATAGAGGAAGGGAAGGAAAAAATAAGATAAAAAGAGAGGGAAGCAAACATGAGACTCTTAACTACAGAGAACAAACTGAGGGTTGCTGGAGGGGAGGTTGGTGGGGAGGATGGGCTAAATGGGTGATGGGCATTAAAGAGAGAACTTGTTGGAATGAACACTGGGTGTTCTATGAAAGTAATGAATCACTAAAGTCTTCTGAGACAATACTACAGACTATGTCGAAAAAATAATAAATTAAATTAAATAATAAGGAATAATAACTGATGGCGATGATGGCACATCCATATCATGAAATTCAATGTAGCTATTAATAATAGACATATATCTATTTGGACCATAGAAAATATATGGTTGAGTGAAGAAAACAGACTATAAGCAGTATAAAACTAAATGAAAATATTCTCACTTAGGTAAAAAATATATATGTGTAGAAATATTATGGTGGTTATCTAGGAGAGACAAGATTTTTGTGATTTTACTTTATATTTTTATATTATTTAAAGTTTTTCAATAAAATTAAAGCTATTTTATGCCCACAAGATGAAATGTATTTGTACAATGGAGAAGATGGGCTCAGGTTTTAGACACACAGATTTAAGGCGAAGGTAAACTGTCTAAAGAAAGCCAGTTTTTTTTTTTTTTTACGTTAGCTATGGTTGACTAGGGTCAACCTTTGACTCATCTACTTTTTATTTTTGTAGATGGCCCTTCTGAATTTCTTCTTCCCTGAGGAAAAATCATACTCTGAAGATGAAAGGCGTGTTCGCCGCAATAAAAGAAGCAAAAACAGTGAAGGAGCAGATGGTAAGTATATTTGGGTGATCTTTTATCACTCGTTATGATAAATGAGAAGTACACTTGTGAGAGCTATCTTCTCAAATGTGCTTCACTATCTCACATATTGTCCATAGACCAAAGGTCATAGAAATTTTTTTTCCAGCCTAATCTATGAATCAGTCCATAAAACTTGACAATAAAGCTGAATATACAAAGATCCTCTCTCCTCCAACCCTAGATGTTTTCAGTCCTTTCACTGTATATCTGAGAGCCATGGTAGCATTTATATCTCTCAAGGTCACATCCATAAGGACTTCATCTTTCTTGGACACCCCATATCTACTAAATCCAACAAGAGGATTCAGTCCTATTCTTGGAATTGAGAATGTCATGATGGCACTTACATGATGTGTTAATCCCAATGGTAATTATGTCAATGTTAGTATCATCTACGATGCTCAAACATGAATTAGAACTTTTAGAACTCATCTGTAAGATCCTTGAGGGCAGGGGTCATTTCCTTTTATATAACTCTAGAATCTAGCTCAGGACCTGGCAAACTGTTGGTGTTTGTAATGTAAGTTGATGATGTTGATTTACCCTTCAGCAAGGTTATGATGTGCCATTAAAACCCTTCTTACTGAGAGTGACACAAATTTGAGTTAACTAGCAATGCATTTTGTGGAGCATAACAAAATGTTGCATTGGTTTCTGGGCAGGGTCCTTGAATTGCTGTTTCAACATCACTCTGTAGAGTGACAAAATGTACCTCCTTCACACAAGAATTTGTAGAATACAGAGCTCTTGACTACTGCAGAAACATCTGGATTTAAAGACAGTATGTGTCTGGCTACATCTGCCAAAGCTATATGTCAGGTGGGGGTTGCAAAACAATATGACTATATAAAGATAAAAATGAGATTTTTAAGCTGATATTTGTCAATATCAGTAAGGGCCAATGATGTATGCTGTTCCAGAAGGCATTTGCTATTGAAGAAATGGGCCCAGGAATTTGTCAGTAGGAGCAAGAATTAGAACTAAATGAAGTCTCACAACAAGGGCTCACAACAAGGACTCACAACAAGGACTCTGTAATAAAAAAGGACAGTCAGAGAAATAAGTAGGATGTTCTAGTCTCTGGAGGTGACAGCATTGTTGAGTCCTTGAATGGAGAACTGGACTAGTAGGACCATTCTTTAAAGCAGACACTTTACCTGTAATCAGTCACCAGGCCAATCCTTGGAAATGTGGTCCATGAAGTAAAAGGCAGCCATTATTCACATACTTCTTGCAGCCAGTTTCCTGGCAGTCATCAGAAGGCTATTGTTGAAGCTGAGATCTGAGAATCATTGTCCTTTTCCTCACCTAATCATCTCACCCTTGATACATGTCAGTTTTTCTATCATTAACTCTTCCCCTGAAGCTACTTCTAAAACCACCAAATCTTTCATATTCCCTGGTTGCTAAGGAGGAGAGGGGTGAGGTGGTAAGAGCAATATCACTTTCTGCAGTGGGCATGGTCTTCCTTTCTCCTTCCAAGTGGGAAGTCTAATAGATTCTAAAGTTTACCTCTTCATCTGGCTTCCCACGTTTTCTCTTAAAGAAGTCAGTATCCGGGGCAGCCCGGTGGTTTAGCGCCGCCTGCAGCCCGGGGTGTGATCCTGGAGATCCGGGATCGAGTCCCAGGTCGGGTTCCCTGCATGGAGCCTGCTTCTCCCTCTGCCTCTCTCTTTCTCTCTCTCTCTCTCTCTCTCTCTCTCTCTCTCTCTCTCTCTTTCTGTGTGTGTGTGTGTGTGTGTGTGTGTTTCACAATAAATAAATGAATAAAATCTTTAAAAAATATATTTAAAAAAAAAGAAGTCAGTATCCTCCTCTCTCCCAAACTAATTTCTCTGGATCTGGCTACTGGCATCTCTGCTATTGATATTCTTTTTTTTAAAGATTTTATTTATTTATTCATGAGACAGAGAGAGAGAGGCAGAGATACAGGCAGAGGGAGAAGCAGGCTCCATGCAGGGAGCCCGATGTGGGACTCAATCCTCGGTCTTGAGGATCATGCCCTGGGCTGAAGGTGGCGCCAAACCACTGCGCCACCCAGGGATCCCACATAGTAGACTCTTAAAAGACATTTCTTTTTTACCTCTATGAGCTTACCTTACAATGTAAAAAAAATGGACAATAAATAAAATTGGTGGTGTTAAATGTTGTGGAAATAGAGCTGGGCAAAAGGAGAGAATGTGATGGGGTGTGTGCTATAAAATTATCAGGGAAGGCCCCTCTATTAAGGGAACATTTCAGAAGAGATCTGAATGAAATGAAAGTATGGGCTCTTCATATTATATTTTGAAGAGGAGAGGGATAGAAGAAATAATAAATACAAATGCTCTGTAGCAGAAAAATTCTTGGTATGTTCTAGAAATATCAGTGTGGCTAGGAGCAGAGTGAGCAAGGAGAAGGAGATGAGATCAGTGGGCAAACTCAAACATAGACCCTTGTAGGACAAGGTAAGGACTCTGACGTTTATACTGTGTAAGATGGGGACCAATTGGAGGATTTTGAGCAGAGATTTGACAAGATCTGGCCTCTGTTCTAATAGAATCCTTCTTCCTGCTGTATTGAAAATAGCTGCAGACACTGTTGGTGGGAATGCAAACTGGTACAGCCACCCTGGAAAAGAGTATGGAGGTTCCTCAGAAAGTTAAAAATAGAACTACCTTATGATCCAGCAATCCCACTACTGGGAATTTACCCAAAGAATACAAGAACACTAATTCAAAGGGATACATGCAGCCCTATGTTTATAGCAGTATTATTCACAATAGCCAAACTGTGGCAGTGGCCAAAGTGTCCATCAATTGATGAATGGATAAAAAGTTATGGTATATATATACAATGGAATATTTTTCAGCCATAAAGAATGATGAAATCTTGCCATTTGCAGGGACATTAATGGAGCTATAGAGTATAATGCTAAGTGAAATAAGTTAGAGAAAGATAAATGCAATAGGATTTCACTCATATGTGAAATTTAAGAAACAAAACAAATGAGGAAAGGAAAAAATGAGAGAGACAAACCAAGAAACAGACTATAGAGAACAAATGATGGTTACCAGAGGGGAGGTGCCTGGGGAAGTAGGGATTAAGGAGGGCACTTGCCATGATAAGCACCAGGTGGTGTATTGAATTATTGAATCACTATATTGTATACCTGAAACTAATATAACATTTATGTAAATTGTACTAGAACTAAAATTAAAAATTAACAAAATATTAAATAAATGAGAAATTAGATACAGTGAGAAAGAACAGAAGCAGAAAGACCTGTTAGGGGGAATATACCAATAATCCAGGGAAAAGATGATGGTTTAGTCAGGATGGGAACAATATGAGTAGTGAGATATAGTGGTCAGATTCTGGATAGATTTCAAAGAATCACTGACAGGATTGTCAGATTGATTATATAAATGGTATGAAAGACAGAAAAGAGCCAAAGATGACCCCACAGTTTTGGACCTAAGGCACTAGACTGTAGAATTGCTATTTCTGAGATAAAAAAAAAAAACGGGGAGATACAGGGTAAAGCGGTACAGAGAAGGATTCAAGAATTCAGGTAGGTGGAGGTGGAGGAGCCTGAGATTGAGAATGGGTCAAAACCTATCAACTTAATATAGACTGCTATATGCATGAGATGTTATATATGAACCAATAGTAACCACAAATCAAAAACTCTTAATGGGTACGCAAAGAAATATAGAGAAAGGAATCCAAGCATATCAGTAAATAAAGCCATCAAACCACAAGGGAAAAAAAAAAAAACAACAAGAGAAGAAAGGAAGAGAAAAGAACTACAAAAGGGGGCCCGGGGTGGCTTAGTCAGTTAAGTGCCTGACTTTTGCTCAGGTCATGATCTCAGAGTCCTTAGATCAAGCCCCGCATCAGGCTCCCCACTCACTAACTAACTAAAGAAACACTTAAAACAAGTAACAAAATGGTAATAAGTATATACCTATTTATAATTTTAATGTAAATGAACTAAATGCTCCAATCATAAGATATAGGTGACTGAATGGATAAGAAAGCAATGCTGCCTACAAGAGACTTACTTCAAACCTAAAAAGTCATGGAAATTGAAAGTGAAGAGATGGAAAAACATTTGCCATGCAAACGGAAGCAAAAAAGAAACTAAGGTAGCAGTAGTTTTATCAGACAAATCAGACTTAAAAGATTGTAACAAGAGACATAGAAGAACACTACATAATAATAAAGGGAACAATCCTACAAGAGGATATAAAAATTTTAAATATTTATGTACCCAATATAGAACTACACAAGTACAAAAGACAACTATTAACAGATTAAAAAAAAAGAAACTGACAATAATACCATAATAGAGGACTTTAACACCCTACTTACATCAATGAATAGATCATCCAAACAAAAAATCAACAAGGAAACAGTGGCTTTCAATGACACACTGGACCAGATGGACCTAACAAATATATTCAGAACATCCCATCCTAAAATGGCAGACTACACATTCTTTTCAAGTACACATGGAACATTCTCCAGAATAGATCACATGTTAGGCCACAAAACAAATCCCGGTAAGTTTTAAAAGATTGAAATCATGTCGTGCATTTTTTCTGACTACAGTGGTACAAAACCAGAAATCACAAGAAAAAAAATCTAGAAAGAACACAAATACATGAAGGTTAAATGACATGCTTATGAACAATGAATGGGTCAACCAAGAAATCAAAGAGGAAATAAAAAAATACATAAAGACAGATGAAAATGAAAAAGCAGTGATTCAAAATTGTTGGGATGCAGCAAAAGCCATTCTAAAAGGGGAGATTATAAGAATACAGGCCTACATCAAAAAGCAAGAAAAATCTCAAATAAACAACCTAACCTTTAATCTAAAGGAGCTAGAAAAATAAAAACAAATAAGGCCCAAAGTCAGTAGAAGGTTGGACATAATAAAGATTAGAGCAGAAATAAATTAAATAGAGGTTGACAAAACAATA